GCCATGATGTCTTCTGGGGGCTGCTCGACTCCTGCCTTGATTCAGCTCCCTTCTCTCTTGGCTGGATACTCTCCCTTCTTTCTTGACTGCCATGCCTTGGATGGAATAATTAAATTACCAAAAGGAAGGCTGTAACTCAATACACTTTTCAGGAAGGGTTCTGAGTTACAACGATCCCTCAGACCCTAAGGTCCCAAATCGAGCCCTCATCCTTTTTGCAACCAGGAGGTCCCTCATGGATGCTGATGGTTTCAGTTCTGCCCTCTCAGGCCAAGTGGACTGTTCTGGCCCATCCGTGCCCCTAGGGCACTTGTTGCCTTAAGACCTATATATGGTCCCCTTCTGCCCTTACAGCCACACCCATGTCTCACAGATGTTACCAGCTATTACTTCAGACCTCCTTGCACTTCCACACCATTGTTGGGGCTTCAGCCTTTCCAGACTTGGGCCTTTTCCTCTGCCTGGGCCCCTTTCAGCCTAGGTCCACCACACCAGACTGCAGCTTTGGGGCTCCAGTCCCTGTCTCGCCCCTCTAGGGCTGTGGGCCCCTGGCTCTGTTGTTGCCCCTTGGCCCCATCTGGCTTTCACCCATGCTAGGCTTCAGTCCCTCTCTAGGTCTTAACCCTTGGTTGACCATGCTTGAGCCAGGCCTGGCCCCCTGGCAGGACTCAATGGCCTACTTGCCCCTCAGGCACCCTGTAGCTTTACACCCCAGTGTTCCTCTTAGGCACCCCACTCTGGCTCAAGTCTAGGTGCACCACTCAGGCACCCATCTGTGGCCACATCTTTTCCCCTTTGCAGCCACTCCTTGTCCACCGGTATAAACTAGAACAGTGGTTTTCAAACTTTTTTCATTTGCAGACCCCTTTGGAAATTTCAAACGGAAGCGCAGACCTCTTTTATTGAATTGTAAGTGCGGGTATTCACATACTTTTGAATGATCATAATAATTTTTCACAGATCCCTTAGATGTGGTCTGCAGACCCCCAGGAGTCTGTGGACCACAGGTGAAAACCACCGAACTAGAACATAAACTAGCTCACTGGCTATAACTAAAACACACCCACACTGGGTTCTACTTCCCTGAAAGCTTTAAATTCTTTACTTGTTCCCCAAGGCAGCTCAAGTATTGGTTAGTCACTCCCCTGTAGCCATCTTGTTGCAGAGCTTTTCTCAGCTGCCTGAAGGGCCAGACTTCCTGCCCTGGCTCAGGTCCTGGGGATTATATGACTTCTAAGCCCTGCCCCTTCTGATCAGGTGGCTCCCTAGCCACCTGCAGGGGTTTCCAATTAGCGTTTGATGGCTAGCTACCAGGGAAGCTTACAACTGCTAGTTCTGCTACCTTAGCAGAGCTCTGACCTACTGTCCTATTGCTAAGCTGGTACCCCCCCCTGCAATAGGCACTCTTAGTTTATGGCTCCCTGGTTGCCCATTCCCCTGTGGCCAGACCCTAATAGGCAGCTTTTACCTGCACTGGGGATCTCTCTGCTGCTGCTTCACTTAAATGGGAGCCTCTGGCTCCCTGTTACAGTAGTTAATCATATCAACCCTAGCTGGGGACAGCAGTATGAACTGACCTTAGCTAGTTGTCATGGTAGTGGAAGATACCTATCTGCATGTTGTCTACACTTGGATTTTATATCGAGGCATCTGCCTTTTTGCACTACTTACACTGGCTTAGACTTTGAAAGCTGCTTTAGGGATCTGAACACCTAGTTCCCAAATGTTAGCCACTGCATGAAAGAACAAATTACAAGGGAGGAAATACATGAATCAAGAGTGAGTTCTAGAGAATGTGTATGGCTGAAATCTAGGTGTGGTCTAGTCCAAGGGTGGGCAATATTTTGGACTGAAGGTAACCACTTAAGGAGTTTTGGTGAGCTGTTGCGGGCCAGGGGGAATGGGGGTGCTGACCTGGCCTTGCTCCTCCACCCAGTCACAGCTGTTTACTAGGGCTGTGTGAAGCTTCAGTCCCTGATTCAATTCAGTGGAGATTTGGCCCAATTCAGTGGTCAAATCTCCAAATTTGAATCAAATCGGAGGACCCTTTAATCTCTCTGAATTGAATCAGAACCCTCTGAATTGATTTGGAGTGATTCGGAAAGATTCGAAGATTCAGACATAAAGACAGCTTTAAATGTTTTTTCTACATACCTCTAGGTGGCAGGGGCCTGTGAATGCTGTGATGCTGGGGTGCATGGAGTGCCCCACAGAAGTGCAGGGGGCTCCCCAGCGTGTTTGGCAGCAGACCCAGAAGTGGACCAGAAGTGCGCTGGGGGGTCCCCTGTGCCCCCCGGTTCAGTGATTGGTGCCTCCTAGGTTTGGGGGGGGACACCCAGGGTCCCCCTGAGGCCAATCGCCAAGCTGGGGAGGCGCAGGGGGCCCCCCAGCACGCTCCCTGGCAGACCTGGAAGTACTTCCGGTCCACTTCTGGGTTCACCAACGAGCACATGGAGGGCCCCCACCCATGCTCTTGTAGGACACTCCGTGCACCCCAGCATCACAGTGATTACAAGCTGCGCCTGTTACCTCAAGGTACGTAGAAAAACCTTTTAAAGCTGTGTATATGTCCAAATTGCTGATTCTCCAAATCAGCAGCGAATCTTCAGATTTGGATTCAGCCAAATCGAATCAGGAACAGTGATCCGAATCAATTAATCAAATCACTGTCCCTGATTTGGGCCAAATCCAAATCCACATCAAATAGAACCCGCTTCGCACACCGCTACTGCTTACACTACCCAATTGCAGGCTGGGGTCCAGGGAAATGCCAAACTCATCCTATCTTATTTGGCCTTGGGCCCATCTGCTTGTATCCACTGCTGGGGGCACTGGACGGAGCAGGCGGGGCCCGGGACTACAGCCAGCAATGCGTGCTCAGCTGGGGAGATGGGATGGGTCCTGGCTCAGTCTCCATGGAGATCCTGCCTGTCTGCTCCATCCAGAGCCCCCAGCAGTGGGTGTGGGGCAAACGGACTGGGGTGCCCAGGCAGTGGAGCCAGGTCCAGCGGCATTGGGGGAGATGCTAGCAGCGGCAGCAGGAAGGAGCTACTGCTGCAGGGGCTGCCAGGAAGCTGAGTCCAGCCACCACAATGCCCTTGCTCCACTGGTGCACCCCCTGGCTCTGCGAACTACAGCTCCCAGTGTGCCTGACAGCCACACACAGGGCTAGGGCAGGCTGTGCTCTGTGCCAAGCAGCATCTCTGCAGCAAGGGATCCTGGGACCAGCTGCCCCCCATGCCTTCGGCTGGGCGGGTTCGAGGGACCTACTGCAGGCCAGATAGAATCAGTTGGTGGGCCAGATCTGGCCCGCAGGCTGTATTTTGGCCACCCTGGTCTAGTCTCAATAAACAATAAGATAATTTAGTAGGTATAGCTTATTCCATCCAGGAGAATAGTAGAAGCTGTTAAAGCTGAATGAAAAAGTTCTCATTATGCTTTTCAGTGAAAAATTCAGGCATGGTGTCACTGAAACATTTCACAAAGGGGTGTTCATTCTGCTGAATTTTTCATTTTGGAAAAACATTAACAATTCCAAAACATGCACCTTCAACATTTTTGTATGAAACATTTTGACATTTGACATTTTGACATCTCAATCTGAAATTACTTTTTAATGTAATTGAATCTAATTTTATTTTTAAAAACATTAAAAATCTCAAAAGCAAAACAATGCAATGTGCTTGAAACAACATGGTTTCGATCAAGTCTAATTGTTTTTCTTTCATTTTAATTTTCAAATTTGGTAAGACTTTTTAGTATTTTCTTTAAATTAAACCAGGAAGACTTTTTTCAAAATTTCACCTTGCTCTATAAGCTCTACCAACAAAAAGCTCTTTGGCTACTATGTAGAGGGATCACAAATCCGAAGAGAAGGCAGACAAGTAAAACTTTGTCTTAGTTCTCACCTCAGTAGGGGACAGGGAGAGGAAAGCTCCTTGGCAGAAGAAATCTTTCTGTTTAATCTCCTCTTAAATAAGATCTGGTTGAAAATTAAATTTACCTCATCGGTTTAACATAGGTATTTTCTCCCTGTGGGTCTGCGTCACTTGTTAATAATTGGTGTAGCTCATATGGATGGTTTAGCTCCTAGGTTTAATCCCTGTTCACAACATCCTTATATGAGGCTTGATTATCTGGCTGTTGGTTTTAGAGCAGTGGAGAGCACTGATTTAGCTGGCATATGCTGCTTTTTTTGGTGATACCTTTTAACTGTATAGTTGGGGGAGATTTTAGACAAGCTTTTGGGACAAAATGCCCTTCCTCAGGTGTGAGAAAAAAGCAGAAACAGCTTGACCTAAATAAAACAGAACAATGACTTCCATGACTGCATATGTATATGAAAAAACAGTCACTGAAAGGAATGGAGGAAGGCAGTAAAATAGGAGCAAAGGGAATAGCTTCAAAACAAGAGAAGTGCAGTAGAATAGATAATTGTGTGGAAGAGCTAGCACATTCAAAAGGGAAAGGGGTACTTATTACCTGTAGAGTGCAGAAAGATTGGCAGACATAGAAGGTAAATAGTAACAAGTCATAAAGCCATTTTCTCTGAGGATACCTGTCATCAGATTTATTGGTGGAAGGTTAAGTGTAAACAAGGGTTTTGTGTGCAGGGTACATTTTAATTTACATTAGATATACAAATGTTCAGATTCTCTCCCCATTGCAGGAAGTCAAAGACTCTCCCTTTGTGCACTGTAGTTTAAATAGCCTTTAATTCACCTCTGGTTTAATTACTAACTCTCAGCACCAGCACCTCATTACCAGCACCTAAGTTTAATCAGGTTGCCTACATAAAATGAATTCATTATATCAGTCAGTAAAAGATTAACCCTTTCTTCCCAGTTTCAAATACAAACTCTTAGTCATGAAAAAACACTGTATTATAGCACAGAGGGGAAATGACCACAGATGAAGGAATCTAACTGAGCTTGACACTGAGATGTACACTGGGTCATGGCTTTCACTGGCTGTCTCACAGCTGGATATTTTCCTAACAGATTCCACAGGCAGCATGAATGGGGTTGATGTGCTCAAAGTGCACTGCAGTGACCCACACTTGATTGTCCAGCTCAAATTCTGCAAGGAAGAGAACTGCCGTAAATTCCTTCAGAGTTACCGAGAGGGAGCGCTCCAGAAGTCTCTCCAGAATCACCTCCAACTCACCCTGTCAATGCCCACCATATCTGTTGAAACAGATCTGAAGACTGGAAGTGAGCATCTCGACAGAATGCTGAATGAAGTGGAGCACTGCTTAGCCTGTATCTACAAAGAAAAGGTGAATTGGTGAGGAAGGATTGTCTGGGGGTGACGGTATGAGTGGAGGACTTAGGAGATGTTGGTTTCCACCTGGAATTCAATAAGGAAAAAAAAAAAATCTTAAAAAGATATAGAAAAAACCCAGAAAAATAAGACTGGAAGAGACCTCTGGAAGTCATATAGTTCTGTAGTGCTCAAACAGAGCTAGATGAGTAACAGGAGGCTGGTCTGGGGGCTGGATCCAGCATGGGCTCAGCATGTGGATTGGGCTTTTAGACTGGCACACAGAGCCTGCATCCTGTCTTTATCCATGTACTGGAAATGGCCAAAGACAGACCCTGCATGCCAGATCCAGCCACAGACAGGCTATTTGTGCAAGATCTGGCCATGGAAAGACTGCGCATGCTACATCTGGCTGTGGACAGAGCTTGTGCACCAGCTCAGACTTATAAGCCAAGTATGGCTGCAGACCAACTGGCAGTTAACACTGCCACTGCTCCCTTGCCAAAGAATTTCTAGACCTGTAGGAAGCCCTGTGGGCTGGATGGTTAGTTCTGGCCCATGGGTGGAGGTTGTGCACTACTGATCTAGTTCAATCCCCTTCTTGAGGCAAGATCATCCCTATCTAAACCATTAGCAAAAACTAAAATGGTAGCTTCCAAGTCTCTTGACTACCCCAGGGAATAAAAGCCACCTGCAATATCCCAAAGGAGTAAGTGGTACCTGTTTCACAGCAAGCTGCTTTTTTGCAAGCATATAGGAAACAAAGAACAAAACTTTCATTTTGGGCCCAAACAATGGACTGTTCTAGAAGCTCTGTCAGTTTTGACTGCTCCTCTCTTTCCATCCCTTTTATGGACTTAACAGACCAACCAGAAAAAAAAGATGAGTGCATTCTCTACTCCCCAGAATGGACTCAGTCTAATTTATGCCTGTTAGTGTAACAAATGTTAAAGTGACAAGCTAAGAAGCAGGGTGTTTTTGGCAGCACCCTTTGTTGGACCAGCTGTGTAGTTGTGACATGTTAGACAAACTTTCAGCCACAAAATCCCCATCCTTGATGTAATATTATGACAGACTCAGCAACAGAACATGGTCTCATCTTTACCTTTGTACACTGACTGGAACAAAGGAACATTAGCAAAAAAAGACAGTTTTTTGCAATTAATAATCTCTGCATAAAATCTAATGCTTATAGTGCTGGGAATTGGAACATATGGGTTCTATTTCTTGCTTTGACACTTATTTTTTGGGCCTGATCCTTAGTTGGTTTAAGTAAAGGTAGTTGAGCTGATGTCAGTGGACCCATCTACACGTGCATTAACACGCTTTTCCTAATGCACATTACATTTAGTACCTCTGGGCATTTATACACATACATTTGTCTGGTATGCACATGCTGGAGATCTGGCATGTGAGCTGATGCACCCCGTGCTGCATCATATACGTTTGTATAAATGGTGAAATCTTCGTCTGCACTGAGAAAACGGTGGTGGTGCACTTTTGAACTAACACACCTTTGATGTGTTTTGGTTCAAAAGTGCACCGCTGTCATTTGCTCAGCACTGACATGCATATTGCTGTTTATACAAATGAATGCGCTGCAGTGCCAGGCACTTTTAAAAGAGCCTGGTGCTGTGGCACAAACATATGTTCGAATGCCCTCCAATATGAGGTACTAAATTAATGTGTGTTAGGCTGCCCTAATGTGCACTAGGGCAAGCACATACTTTTTAGGTGACCTTTAAGGTGCAGCAGCATGTTCTACTGTGCATTCACATATTAATAAGGTTTTTTACATGCCACTTTAATGCGCAGTAGAATACACTACTGTGCATTAAGGGGCATGTGTAGATGTACCCAATTTGGCTCTTTTTATAAGTAGCAATTAGTAGTAAATTCCCTTCACTCTATGGGTAGTTACTAAACCTGTGTGAAAAAACAAAAATGGCGGGGAGGTGGGGAGGGAGTTCAGGGAAAGCCATGTTTAAAAAAAATGAAAAGTAGTGCAAATCCGTAGACTGTAAGGACAGAGAGGGGCCATTAGGCCATCTAGTCTGATCCACTTAACAAGAGCAGTAGAATTTAATCTGGTTGTCCTTGTATTGAGCCTAATGATTTACAATTGACTAAAGCACGTTTTCCAGAAAGGCATCAAGCCTTGATTTGACTACTTATTGGGATGGACAATTTGGCTCAAATGACTGCTGCTATTTGCCTTACAGCCTGACCGCCTGAGGGATGAGGAAATTGCAGAGCTGGAGAAATCTCTCAGGAGCCTGACTTGTCGACAGGAGAACAATGTGGTTGTTGCAAAGAAAAGCAACTCTTTGAACTCCTCATCTTTGCCTTATTCTTCTGGGGCAAGCTCTCTACCCCAAGGAACCACTTTTATCTTTCAAGGACAGCACTTTGGTGAGTGTTTAGTCATAAACTGTCCGAAACCTAAAGTTCTTGCTCGTCATTTCCTGCAATACCATAGGGAGCTAGTAACTGTATGCTGTGATGTCATGTGATCCCAGCGTGTGCTCCAGCCAGTGGACTAGATGATCTATTCAGGTTCCTTCTGACCCCTACTATGAAACTGGTTCCAGGTGTCCCTGGATGAGGCAAAAAGTGAACTTCTCAGAGTCCAAGGTAGCAGAGACTATGATATGAATCTAGGTCCTGACAGACTGTGCAGATCAGTATTTCATCTAGTCCAATCTCCTGGCTCTGACAATGGACAGCAGTGGATGTTTCAGAGTTTACCACCCTTCCACTCTTTTTAATTCTCCTCACTGCTGTAACTCTTGCCAGCAGTGAAAAAGGGTGAATTAAAATGTTAGTGTTGTTTCTGCATGCCACATGATTGAAGTCAATCAGGAGCATTATTTGTCTTTGGGAATGCAGTGGGGCTCTCTGAATTGGATTTCTACTAATTAGGTATGTTATGGATACCAGTGGATCTAACACAGGGGTGGGCAAAATATGGCTTGCAGGCCGGATCCAGCTTGCCATGGGATACTATCTAGCCTGCTGCATTCCCAAAGACAAACCATGCTTCTTGACCCTGCCCGGCCCAGGTGCATGGGGCAGCTCAGGCTGTCGCATGTGTGGCTAGTCCCTCTAACCCTGGGCATGCAGTGAGACAGCAGCCAAACTCAGCTTCCTGGCAGCGGTGGCTCCTTTCAGCTGCTGCTGCCAGTGTCACCATCACCAGACCTAGCCCCGCTGCCTGGGCACCCTGACCCACACCCACTGCCAGGGTGCCAGACTGAGGGGGCAGGTGGGATCTCTGTGGAGACTGGCCCTGGACTCCCACAGAAGGGCCTACTTGGTCGGGCAGATGGGATGGGGCTGTGGTTGGGCAGGGAACAGCATCCAGGACCAAGATAGGTGAGCAGGGCTGGGGCCGGGATTGTGGGGCAGTGACAGCGTGGAGCCAGGGCCCAAGGCAAAGCTGCGATCCACTCCCTGCACATCCCTGCCCCAGCCCCGTGCTGTCACTGCCTTGTGATCCTGGCCCCAGCACCCGACTCCCTGCCCATCCTGCTTCCAGATGCCACTCTCCATCTGCCCATGGCCCCATCCTATCCGCTTGGCCGAGCATGCCCTGCCTGTGGGGTCCTGGCCGGTCACCATGGAGACCCCACCCAGTATTCCTGGTGGGTACAGGGCAGACAGGCCAGATAGGATCAGGTGCCTTTCTCCCCCACACCGGGAAGTTTCAACACACCTCCCACTTAGCCAAGTCAACACCACTTCCCTTAACCTGCAATAGCTTACCAAAACTCCCTAAATGGCCCTCCAGCCAAAATAATTGCCCACTCCTGCTCTAACATGAGAATGCTCCACACAGCTATAAAATAAGCTTAGAAAATTCACATTTAGAATGAGTGAACAGGGGAACGTTTATTAATGTAAAAAAGGAAGATGTCTCTATTTGCAAAGACCAGCCCATGAATGACATTAGTACTTTCAAAAAAAGAGGGAGAAATATCATTGATCAAAGCCAGGCACAGAGCACAGAATTATCTGGGATCCCTTTCAAGCCCAGCTCAGGGTTTCCAGTTGTGGTCATCACTTCTGGCCGTTTTGGCCCTTTCCTGAGAAGAGCATGTTTTCTTGGTCTCATAACAAATATGGGTTTGTGCGCTATGCACTGGAGACCAACTTAATCAAGCCTGGGCCCAGTGTACAAGGCCGGA